GTCGGTTCTGCTCTCTCTGACCCTTTCCTTGCCTACGCGGCCGCTCTTAATGGGCTTGCTGGTCCCCTCCACGGCCTTGCCAATCAAGAAGTGCTTATCTGGCTCCGCAAGATGCAAGCGCAGATTGGTGAGGATGCATCCGACGAAGCCGTCAAGGAATACATCTGGGCCACCCTCAAAGGTGGTCAGGTTGTTCCCGGTTATGGGCATGCCGTTCTCAGGAAGACCGACCCCCGTTACACCGCCCAACGTGAATTTGCCTTGAAGCATCTGCCAGACGACAAAATGTTTAAACTTGTGGGACAAATTTACAACCTTGTTCCCGACATCCTTCTTGAGGTTCTCGATATCTATTTTCCGCCCAGTGATGAAACTTAATCTCCTCTTTCTGTCATTTAGGCTGGAAAGGCCAAAAACCCTTGGCCGAATGTCGATGCGCACTCTGGCGTACTTCTCACCCACTATGGGCTGACACAGATGCAGTTCTATACAGTCTTGTTTGGTGTATCTCGTGCCTTTGGTGTTGCTGCTCAATTAATCTGGGACCGTGCTCTGGGAGCTCGTAAGTGTTGTCTATCTATACCATCAGCATTGATACTTAAGATTACAATAGCTCTAGAACGTCCAAAATCGTACTCCACTGCCGCCATCAAGAAGATGTTTCAAAACAAGGCGTAAGCCTTGGCCGCGCCGCTTTGATCAAGCATTATAATATTATCTTTTATTAAAAAAAACATAGAATTTGATTCTGTTTCGATACTTATGATCCTTTTGTGCTCTTCTTTTGGAGAGATAGATGAGATTGATGATTGAATCCTGGTGTGACATGCAGTTTGCACTGCAGTTGAAGTAGTCTCTGTGTTCTCAATGGGCCAAACCTGGCAGGTAGGGATTGGCACGGGTAACCCTGGGGTTTTCCGAGCCAACCCGCACCCCTACCCGTGAAAACCTGTACCCGTGACCAGGGGTACGGGTTTTGGCAGGTGCGGGTACGGGTTTGCGAAAAACCCCGGGGTTTGGTCATTTTCTGCGGGTTTTTCACTTATTTCCGCTGTAAACCATTTTTCATCTATTTTTTTGGTGTTTTCCAACGGTGAATATTACTATAGTATACCCTACTACTAGTAACCTACTTTAAAACAAGTTAAGATAATATTATAAGCCCCCCAAAAAAACAATTAAACCTCAAAAACCCGAAATTTTGTACCTACATACATGTTGCATTATGTTCTTTGTAAAATTACTATAAATTCCAAATAAATTAGTGCTTCACAAGCGTAATATAATGCATTTTTCCCCCTCCAAACAAACCCATGACCCACGCCAGGGGTACGGGTTTTTTGAGGGTACAATTTTTCTAACCCCTACCCGTACCCCAGCCCAACCCGTGACCTTTACCCGCGGGTTTCTCCAACCCGTGATAATCCCTACTGGCAGGCTTTGTATGTGAACTGATCACTGTGGACTCCAGATCGGGTGAATTTCATTGGTCAATTCCCCAATTTATTTGATTAATAAAAGTTCGACTTTGTCGAACGAGCCTTGCTGTGATGTGATTGATATTGGATAATTTGGATTTTATAAGTATGGTAAAAGAGTGCTGAGGATGCTACTCTCCTAGGAAAATAAATACTTCTGAGGGCTGCTCATCGCCAACCTGCGGTTGACTCCTCGCAGCCCATTCTCTCCTCAGAAATGCTCAACTAATTACAAGTCTTTATTTATAAAAGCTCGTGCTTTATGCGGATGGCTAATCTTCCGTATTATTATGGGAAACAATTATGTTCCATCCATGATTGTTGGACGTCTGGAAAAGGAGGGATGCGGAACCCAGTGAAACAAGCATGTACAACAGCTGGAAAGTATTTCGTTTCGAGTTTCAAGGAAAAAGTGGATGTGGTAGTATTTGGCACCAGACTCAGAGGCAAACATGTACAACAGCTGGAAAGCATCTCATATTTCCTTATAAGTGATTTTAGACCAAGAGGAACCTTACTGTTTCACAGCAAGGCCATGTAATTACTTCACCTATTGAAAACAATCGTGTTCTCGAAGGATTCACCCAAGAGTGGATGAAATTTCCAGGCTGTCAATGGGTGAAAGACTGATTAATTCACACATTTTATGACTGATTTCAACATGCATTCAACAGGTATTTCTCGCATCTAGACTCGGTGAATTTCCCCAGAACCATGGATGAATTCAAATCACCCGCTCTTGTGATTACTTTCCTCATTTCTCCCATTTGTCAATTCATCCTGCAAATGGGTGAACATTGCTGGGCAATGAAGGATTAAATTCATCTGAAGAAAGGTTGGGAGATTCAACAGGTAACTTGGTAATAGATATATATCAGAGCTTCTACTCATCCTCCTCTCCTGAATCCAATTGCTTGTTTTCACCATCCTCATTCTCCTCCTCGTCATCATTGTCGGAGTCCACATTATGGAGCTGAGAGTTGTTTCCACTGGAGGTAGCTGCAGAGCATTCAGGTTGAGGCATCATCTGCCCTGTTTTGACCTCATAACGTTAGTGGTTTTGCATATACTGCTTGACGAGTTTGGCGGTTGCCCAGTTTTGGGGAAATCGAGCCTTGGACATGTATGGATGTGTCTTGCGAGTCTAAAGTAGTTCTGTAAGCAAAAAAAATGGATAGCCATATTTCAGTACTCACAAACTTAAATATGGCGCTCAGGTCATCTGGATCAACTTGACGGAAGTCGAGAGAAAGGTCAATCGACCATTTGATGATACTGTCGCGGACCATCTGCTTTGAAAGGAAATCACAAAGGTGGGTGATGGTCACAATCTGATAGTCTCTTGCCTCTCACCATGATAGCGTGGTATAGCTGTTTGCTCTCTGGTGTATCATCAAGCTTCATTTCTCTTATCAGCTTGAATCCCTTGGACCCTGCTTCACCTCTGGGCTTTGGTATCGAAGCAACCTCTGCACACTGAGTAGAGACTTGACCCGCAGAATTTGCAGTCACCTTATGGAGGAGGAGGACCTCCACTGGCACAATATGAGTTTCTCTCTTTATTGGGTATGAAAATAATAACTGACCTTTGAGTCTCTCGATCTCTTTAGCTGCTGACATAGCAGCCATAGGCAACTCACAATCAGTTCCACTGCCCTCAGCAGTCTTTGTAGTGCTGTGGGATCCTAGGCATAACAAGAGGATTCGAGAATTTGTGATAGAGATGTTCATGGTACGACACACCCAAACCCAAACCTTTCCTTGGTTGATTTTTCATCTTTGTGGCGTGTAGAGAAGCCAAATTTTCTTTATCTTTGGCCATCACTGCCTTTGTCTTTGAAGGTACATTTTTCTTGGTGTTCTTTAAGGGTGCCATACTGATGCTGGTATATTCAAGGATTCATGGTGAAGGGGAAGGCTCAAGAGCCAGCCAGGTAAACTCCCATCGTTTGAAGTATATAATGTCTTTGCAAGCTTGTATATTTGTATGCCACAAATAATGTTCATTTTTATTCAATCCCCCTCGAGTCTTTTGTCATGGCTGAAAAGGCACCATGCTCTTGTGGATGTGGCAAGCTTGTTAGCACTTCAGCAGACCTTCATCACCATGCTGGTAAAACCACCCCCCAAGTCAAAGCCACACACCTTACCAAACAGGACATCATGGTTACTCCTAACATCAAGAATTATCAATCTCAAGCAAAAACTCCACCCAGAAAGTGACTAAAAAGAAATTCAGATTCCCTGACTATACACCCAACATCAGACATCAATAATTTAGCCCCAGTGTCCCCCTCCGAGCCCTCCTTTACCCTCATTATCGCCAACTCATCCAGAAATCCCAAATTCTTTGGACACCAAAGATGTTGAGCTCCTTGTTAATGTTTGTGCTGAGGCCTGGACAAATGCATCTCGCTATCAGGCAATGGTCAGAGATGCAGATTCTGATATTGACGACTCAGAGGAAGAGAAGGAGGAAACACCAGTGAGTGAATCTGAGGAGGATGGTGATAGTTTCTCATCAGGTTCAGACTCAGATTCCAGCGATGAGGGGCTCAGGATTGAGGATACTATTAGTGATGAATTTGAGCGAGAACTGGGTAATTTTTGTGCATATTTTAATATCATTTACCCTCAGTTCGGTAATAACCAATATTCTAACAGTTGAGAAACTTACAGAGGAAGAACTCACATTTCTTAGGCATTATGCCCTCAAGGTGGAGGTGCATATGGCCAACGACACATTTTTGAAACTTGCATTTGCCTGCCCCAAGTCCAATGTTGCATCCTGGAAGGTTACGAAAGTGTGTGCCAAATTCTTGCAACATTCAGACCAGTGGCATACAACTGCTGCATTTCATCATGTTGCTGCTTTATTAGTCCAAATGGTGACCTGACAGCTTGTCTCTATTGCCACGAGCTGCATTTCAATTCGAAGGGCAAGCCACAATGACGATTCACATATGCACTACTCATCCCTTGCTCTTGGCCTTCTACCAAAACAAAGAGTTTGGCCACTCTATGGCTCTATCAAAGTAGATACCAGTCCAATGGAACCAACACCCAGGATGTCATGGATGGCAAAAACTACAGTGGCTCTGTGAAACCCATGCTTCCATCAATGGTCAGCCTTGCTCTTACAAGTATTTTCAAGATCCTCGGAACATTGCTCTCGGCCTCTCAACTGACAGATTTTGTCCATTTCAGAAGCGCAAAAAACCTGCTGGTCTATTTTGATATATAACTACAATCTGAGACTGGAAATTCGGTTCTGGATCTGTCACATTTTATGTGTTGGTGTTGTTCCTGGGCTGTACAAGCCAAAGGACTTTGACTCATTCCTTTGGCCACTTGTCGAGGAGCTGTTGAAGCTCGCTGCTGGAATTAAGGCCTATGATCTCTCCTCTGATGAGATCTTTGCCCTTCTTGCCTTTCTAATCCTTGTTTTCAGGAATATACCTGCAGTTAGCATGATCATGTGAACGAAGGGTCTGTTGGATATGAATATACCACTATCCCAAAGACTCAGTAGCTCAACGGTTAGAGCACTGATGTATATAGTCAGAGGTCGTTGGTTCGATTCCAGCCCTTGTCACTTATTTTTTCCTTCAGTCATGGTTTCCAACAGGGTCATAATGGGTTATTTTCATGTCGTATGTGCAAGATCCCAGCTCTCCGAACCCCAAATTCTTGTTCACCAGCACATTATGTCCCCCTCCACCGTGCTCGACATCCTGCAGTCAAGGATGACTGCTCCGCAATTCAGGTTTATAACCCAGCCACTCTTCCTTTATGCTCCCACTGTGAGGGTTAACTTACCGAAAGTTGTCCAACCAAGGTCACGGTGAGTTAGGCGAGCTGAGGTGTGGAGACCTATTGATGGTCGTACGAATCATCGGCGAGTCTACAACTTGTGAGCCAAGAGGAGATACTTGTAATCCCATGCGTGGTATGCCCGCGTGCGGAGTGGCGACGAATGGAAGAATAACCAGAGATGCCTCACGTCTCACGTATCGCTAGGATAGTGAATATGAGTAAAGTGATGATGATTCCAATCGTGCTACGGTCTCGTATGAGAAGGGAACATATTACTAATTGGGTCATGTGATACAGTCCCTAATTGGATGAATGAGTACGTGGAAAGTAAGAGAGTAAACGAAGTAAGGGAAACGTAGTTGAATACAATACACGTAGGGTGGAATGGAATGAAGCGTAGTTGGATACGGGATGAGGGTTACATAGCCCCCCCACTTTCGGTGTGCGAGATGTTAAAGAATTGAATATTTGGGGACCACGATGATGCGGTCGCAATGCATCCACGCATAAAAAAATCGCATTTAGCGTACATCTCAGCGCCCCATTAGATCTTAAAACATACACATTAGAGCCCCAGTGGTGAGCCTCACCCAGCTGGGAAAGTCGCACGAGCTATCAGAAAGAACATAAACAAGTCACGCTTAGGGAAGCGGCCTTGAGGACGACGTGTATGATGATGTCCAAATGATCATCTATTTGAAGTCTGGTAGACCGTTGACCACCCTACTATAAGCCTGATGCTAATCACCAAGGACTACCCCTTGTGAAGTCATGTGTAACATACCAAAAGAGGAACAGACACCCATCAAACCCTCAGTCCCGATTGGGAATACCGTTAAGGACTCAAAGATTTAGAAACCAGATCCCAAAACGGATCACAGAGATTTACGGGCACAGAATAAAGCTTTAGGGGTGCATTCTGATCACTCAAGGAACATGACATAACAGAAACACTGAAGCACACGTTTGTGAGCGCTGCACACATGGAATGGAAACCGGATACAAGGATGACCATGAGCCGCCATCACGGATCTTTGAAATAGAAATGAAATACCACAGAACTGGTTCTACGGATCTACGGAGCTGACCAGATTCAGGAGATAGATAACCAAGCGATGTGCTAAGGCGGAACAGATGCCAGGCACGATGAGCGCTAAGACAAATTCTGGTGAAACGGAATGATACCGATACCCCTCTTCCACAAGGGCGAGATGAATGACACTACCGGGAACGATGGCCATACCCATTACCGAGTTCACGAGTGTCCGCGAGCCATATGGCCGCCCCTTTATCACGCAATACTTGCTAACCTGTTTGTAAACTATAATACGTCATACAGTAGTATAAGTACGCTTGTACAGTATCGCAACAACTCAGACTACGGTTCCCCCTCTCATCTTTTGAAACTCCCAGCCCAGCAGCAGGAATTGAGTTGTCATTAGCGACCAGGGATTCCTAAAAGCAGTCTCACTGGATAGATATTGATATTGAAATTGGAAGGGGATTCCCTTAAACTTGGCTCGATTTGAAATTACTGGAAGAGGACTCCCTTACCCGAAACAGCATGTGTGACCCATCTTGTCTTTTGAGATCCCCGCCCAGCGGCAGGAATTAGATCGTTGAAAGGAAACGGGAAAGGCGTGTGTTTCGGTCCTGAACGTGTTGCTGCATTGGGTGTGGCTCAAGCAGGTTCCGCGGTCAGAAGGATTGAAGACTTAGCCATCTGCGGGTGGATCTCATTCTGAAATCATCTACCAATGCTTAACACGTAACTACTATATATATACCCAGCGACTTCCTGTTTAGTGAGAACAGAGTCTTGCTGAGTCCAGAAATAGAAATCTCTTCGAATTCAAAAGCTATAGACCCCCTAATCGAACTTGAGGCGCTTTGGGTCGATAGACATCCCAGACATAAAGAAAATACCCTACGCCGCAGACCAGATTTGTGATTCGAAGTCTCTTTAGTTGAGAGTCATGTTACTCATTCTCAGGAGAGAGCCTCGTACCACTTTAGGTGTTGTTGTGTGTTTTCCTGTGTTCGGTGGTCCATCCTCGTAGCCCACCTCACATCTGGAGCCCACCGCGAGGGGGTGTGTTTTTGAAAACGATTTCCCAGATTGAAATTATGTACTCAAAGAGATAAAGTTTGCATTTTATGGAGTGGCATACTTCTACGTGTGTCTAGATTCAAATAGTCACCCGAGTTGTCCAAACCCAGGGTGGAAACTCATCTCCCAATTACCAGTTCGATTCCCATTTTTGGCACCAGAGAAAATCCAGAAATAGTTGTGTATCTTCGCAAGATCACAGATACGAGTACTTGAGGAAGGAATCTTCAACCCGAATCAAGGGACAAGAAAAACCAGTATGAGAGTGTCGGGAAACGAATTTATCCTGAAGAAATAAAGGACTTTCTCAAAAAGACTGAGGAACAACAGCCACACCAGGAAGCTGTCGGGAATCACTCCTCGACTACTTGTGTGAAGATATCGAAGCCATGGACGACCCAGAATTCGAGTCAGGCAGGAACAGGCCTGTCTTTACCTCCACCTACTAGAAGAAAGCTTCCGATAAACGATCCTATAAGAGAGAGAGTTGAAAGCTGAATAACCACTAGTAGACAAATAAGAGATAGAAGAATGGCAGTACCAACTGGCAATACACAAGCCCCTACCAGAGGTGCAACCTCCAGTAGTCTGGGAACAGTACAGAACCAGACAACAGATACCACGAACTCCAGCAATGACAACTCCGCACTCGGAGGACGTGCGAGGAGAATGCCGCTTCCAGGTTGCAGAGAAGCGCCGTTCTTCAATATGGATAAACCAAGCGAATTGATAAGATTTCTGTCCATCTTGGAAGATTTTTTCAAAGAATATGGAATGACAAATGACCAAGATAAAAAGGAAAGAGCTGGAAGGTATACCGATGCCAAAACCGCTGAAGAGTGGAAAGCACTAGATATGTATGCAGAAAGTGTTTCCTGGGATGATTACAAGGCAGAACTAATCGAGAGCTATCCCGATGCAGCGAATTTGAAAACTGGTTCATTGGCTAGGCTGCATCAGATTTGTCGAGAACATAAACGGCTAGCACCCAGAGATCTGGCAGATTTGTTAGCATTTAAGCGCGCATTCCAGACAGAGGCAAAGAAACTCCAGAAGCCTCCATCATTGCTTGCAAATCATACACTGGTGGATGCTTTCGTCAAGTGTCTGACTGAAGATTTCCGGAACATGGTTTTCCAGAAGTTGGACATAATAGATCATATGGGACAAGTGGTTAGTGACCTGAATATACCAGGATACGTCGCCACCCAGAAAGAGAAGACGAGACTGGAGGATCAATACTCTTTGGAAGACGTGGTCAAAATGGCAGAAAGCATTGCTCGAAAAGAGAAGCCTGGCCTAGGAAGAGGTATGCAGGGTCTACACACTCATGAGGAGGGTTCTGCGGCGAACTGAGCCATAGCCCCTTTGACAAAAGAATTCGAAACAATTAAGGAGGAATTCCAAGGATTGAAAGATATCCTGACGATATCGAACAAGAGAAATGAGGAACTCGCTGGGAGTCTCAAGCTGATAGCGCAATTGGCAAGAGCGCAGCCTCTACCACAACGACAAATGCAGGCGAGCAATGGCGTGGCTTGTCATTATTGTGGAAGAATAGGACATTATGTCGCAGAGTGCCTCACGAAGAAAACTGATCTTGAAGCCCATAAGATTATCATGGGACCAGATAGCAGAATAAGGATGCCCGACGGCATGGCACTTGGTTTTGACGCAGCTGGAAGAACCATAAAAGAGCGAGTAGAGGAATGGCATGCAAAGAAAGTGGCCGTGTCCTACCAAGCGGGAGTCTTTCATGGAGGGGTTATACAGATGCCAGAAAGCATCTCCGTATACCATAACGCTGAAAAAGATGTGAGAGATGATATTATTGAGGAACTACACGAACAGATGAGACAGAATGGAGTAGTACCAGCTCAAGCGAGCACCTATTCCCAGTCTGATCGTTAGGGATTGTCACGGTGAGAGGTGCGACGTAGGTCTGGTCGAAGACTCAACAAACACACAACACACATACCAAGCAGAGCGAGGCTCTATGAACGAGCGACGCGATCCACACAAATAGTGTCGTAGACACTATTAATCCTGACTGTGACGGTGGGTATGGAGAATGTTTGAGTTTCAATGATGCAATGGGTTACTTTGCCACCTCGCGGTTCATTTATAGTGGTAAGGAGTTATTTACAATCACTTTCTAAGAACTCGATGGGGACGTTCTAAGATGTTTGGTCTTTCGAAGAATGAACAATTTATGCAAAGGTGTTTTTATGAATAGATTGTCTTTCTTTAGGGTTACCACTCATGTTTCGACGAAATATCACAAATAACCTCATTCTCTGACGGCGCGACACTGATTTCTAGGGCTCTGGGGACTTCTCTGATGCTTTCTAAGACTTCCAAATACTGTTACGAGCACTAAATCACTGTCTGAGTCTGATCACTTGGGACTTCAATCAATTTCTTGGTGCCAAATCACTTTCAGCGAAGATAATCTTTCCACTTGGTCATTGCTCGGACTGGGGCTCTACCCAATCGTACAACAAAAGCAAGAGAGAGATTTCTTGTTCTTTATTTTACAAAACTCGAAACTATATACTGTACAAATGTTTGGTGCGATCTTTACAATAAAATACAAACCCTCAAGTCTAAATTGTTCCCAAATAAATATCGGAATCCTTCGCCGGAATCCCAAGGACACGCCTGATCTG